TCTTTCTTTCCTTGGATTTGTTCCTCACTTTTTTCTTGGCAACAGTGATGTTGATCTTGCAACCTTCAAAGGTAGTGATCTCCTTGAGGGCCCTCTGAACATCTTCGGCCATGGAGAAAGTAACATAGCCAAAGCCTCGACATACCTTACTCCCTTGAACAAGACAAGAAGGGAGGAAAAAGAGGTGAAAAGCACAAAGAATCAGAAGCCAAGAGCACTAAACCAGGAAATCATACAAGCAGATATCCTGTGAAACCATCATGTGATCAGTTTACAAGGTCTCAGGAGGGAAAGAAAGAAGGCTGATGCTGGGTATGGTGGTGCATGGCTATAACTGCAGCACTTGAGAGGCTGAAGCAGGAGGACTGTTGTGAGTTCAAGAACAGCTTGAGCTACAAAGTGAGCTCAAGGACAGACTGAACTGCATAGTGAGACTCTGTCTCAAAAAAAGGACGCCCCCCCAAAAGGCTGATATCAGTGGCTCCTTCCCTACTTTGTTCAGAAACTGTTCAGTTTTTCTCGTGTGTCCTAAGTTAGTGTCTTGCTGCTAGCTCCTCCTCTTCCCCTCTCAAGAATATTGAAGACCCATTCTATAGATTAACATTAAGCTCTCGAGGAACTCAATAATGAATAAAAGAAAAAATCCCCAAGAAAAATAAATGATAGCTTTGAAAATCAGAATATAATAATGCAGTTCTTCTTAGAAGAGATTACCAATAAATGCTTGAAATTCTGAAAAAAGAACTTCAAACAATAAGCAGTGCTTCAGGAGTCTGCAGACATTACCGAAACCTTAGCTAGTTAGTATCAGATTAAACCTTTCTAAAGCAGCTGTAAATCTCTTGACTTTATCTTCAGGGTAGTACAAGGTAAGTAAAGCAAATATTACCATCATTTTTTTGCACAAAACAATCTGAGATGAAAGAAAAATAAGTGGATGTTGTAAAGCATGCTAGTAGTCAAACTACTTCCTTATCAACTCCAATGCTCTTCCATAGGACTCCACAGAAAATATTAGGACCAAACAAATAAATAAATACAATATCAAATGTAATCCCCCCTGGCACTTTTCTGGTATTCTTTTTTTGGTTTAACATTTTTGTTGTATAGTAAAATTTTAAGTAACTTATTGTATCAAAAGTCAGGTGTGGTGTGTACACACTTGGGAGGCTGAGACAGAAGGACTACCATGAGTAAGAGACCAGCCTGGGCTACACTGTAAGACCCTGTCTCAAACAAAAGTAAAAACAAAAACCTTACAGTATCAAAAAGGAACAAGAGCCAGGCTTGGTGGCAGATGCCTATAATGCCAGCACTTGGAGGTTAACTAAGGCAGCTGGACCCTCACAAGTTTGAGAACAGCCTGGGCCACAAAGTCAGCTCAAGGCCAGCCTGAACTGCATAGTAAGAACCCGTCTCAAAATTAAAAAAAAAAAAGAAAAGAAAAGGAACAACATCAAGAAGTTTCATCACAGAAGAAACTACAGCTCTAGTGCTCTGCCTCTCAAAACTGCTTCAAGTTGACCCTCAGCATCAGGAAAACATACTGTGATACGGAGATTGATTGCTTTTCTTTTGAAACTCCCTCTCAAAAACCTGCCCACTCACCTTTCAGAAAGCAAGCAAAATCAAGGCATTTCCTGATCAGTATAACCAAAAATTAAAACAGATCAAATGTTAAAGAATTCAATGCCCAAATAAAACATGTTAACAATAATTACATTTACACAAAGAACTCTCACATCTACAATCTTTACAACAATCCTGTGAAACTATCCCATTTTAAAGAGGCTGGATGATGTGCCACCACATCATCATTTAAAGAAAATCTCACCTCACCCACCCATCCCACTGAATCCATCATTTTTTTCAATATACAGCCATCTGAATAGGATGGCTGAATAGGAAAATATAGTTTTCTCAAAATGAAAAAAGAGGTGCTGTTTGGGCTTTAGATCAAGTCCACAGGGCTGGTAAGATTACGCATACCCTATATTCTGAATACTTAAAGAATTTCCATTTCATGGTCTGTCCTTCCCTGGAACATAACTTGTGTTCAGTGCGTAACTGTTATGCACTGTATAGCCGCTGTTTCTCAAAACTGTTTTGAGGGTTCCTATATTGGAACCAGTAAAGACATCACTATATAGTTGGTTTATTTATTGGCTGTGGATTTCTACTTTGAGGTGCATTGCTGTGTCCCAGCCCCTACAACAAAGTGCCCCAGGACACAATAGGCATTATGGTTCCTATATTGGAACCAGTAAAGACATACATTCTTATATATAGCAGACAGAAAAGTTTTAAAATAGTCATAACCTTATACCATATATGGATGTATTCCTTTTATTCTACTTCAATTTTTTAAAACTGCAGCACTGCCAGGTATGGTGGTACAAGCCTTGTAATATCAGCTCCTGTTTTGGGAGACTAAAACAAGGGAATCACAAGTTTGAGGCTAGCCTGGGCTACACAAAGTTCAAGGCCAGCTTTGACCTCATAGTAAGATCCTTTCTCAATAAATAAATAAATAAATAAATAAATAAATAAATTCTAGCCACAAGCAACTCAAGACCTACTAATGGAGCTGGCATGGTGGTACACATGCCAGTAATTCCAGGATTCGGGAGAATAAGGCAGAAGGCTCACTGTGAGTTTTGAGGCGAGCCTGGCCTGCCTGAACCATTTAGTGAAACTCTCAAAAAAAAAAAAAAAAAAAAGATCTACTAATGTGTAATAATCTGCAGTTTATGAAAAATTACTGTATAACACTTTCCTCTCATTCACTTATATCGGTATTTAGGATGCCAAAAACTAGAAAGGTGGTATGATTTGTACAGCCAGAACCACACTGATGAGCCTACCTATAAATTCGCTTACTAGCAAACAGAAGCCAAATGAGCTGATTATTAATACACATCATACTGCCTACTCACATACCCAGATACCATATGGGGGTGCGGGGGTCTCCATGAGACACCAGTTTTCATCAGTTGTTCTGCTGAAAGGCAAAGAGGCAGCTACCTACAGAGACAGCCTGTTGACTTGGAAGGGAGTTAAATGTATGTTCTAGGTAACATCAGGTACCTATCTTGGGTGCCCCTTGATAGTTTTGGTAGGAGGAAAGAATGCTTCTACAATCCTTATAATTCTCTCACCTTAATATATGCCAACTCTCCATCCTGGGTAATACGACACATATCAAACAGAATGTGAAGCATACAACAGTATTCCACATGTCAGGAAATCTCTCTAGTGGCTCAAGTCAAAAACCTTGGAATCAGAATTGACTCCCCAACTCCTTTTTTCCCTTCCATTCCATATCTGACCAATCAGCAAATCTCCTCCTTCAAAAAAATCTATTATCCAACCACTTTCATTGTCCCACTTCTGATGCACTGTGTCCCAGTCCAATACCATGATCTCTCACTAGATTACTGTAAGAGCCTACTAACTGGTTTCCCTGTTGCTGTCTTATTCACCAATAGTCTATTTGCAAAACAGAATCCAGAGAGAATCTTTCAAAATATAAACCAGATCATAGTTACTGGTCCCTGATCAAAATTGGTGTTTTCCCATAAACACAGTAAAAGCCAAAGTCCTTACTATGGCCCACAAGATTTCCTGTGATCTGGTACTGTAGAACTCATCTCCTACTTGTCTTCCCTTCAGTCATTTCACTCCAGTCACTTGGGTCTCCTTGCTACTCCTCCAATGCCCAAGACACACACACTCTTGCTTCAGTATCTTTTTTTAGGACTGAGGACTGAATGCAGAGCCTTGTATAAACTAAGTAAATGGTCTAGTGCTCAGCTACACCCTTACCCCCTTTTTAATTTTTTAATTTTGACACAAGGTCTCACTAAGTTGCCTGGACTGGCCTCAAACTTTCGATCTTCCTGCCTTAGCCCCTTGAATAACAAGAATTACAGGTTGCATGTGCCACAGGGTCTAGCTGTTTCCTCCACTTAGACTGTTCTGCCTGAAAGATATAAATTCACCCTCTCACCTTAGTCTGGGAATTACAGGTTGCATGTGCCACAGGGCCTAGCTGTTTCCTCCACTTAGACTGTTCTGCCTGAAAGATATAAATTCACCCTCTCACCTTAGTCTGGGCTTCTATGGTCAACCTGTCTATACTTCCACTACTACCCCTGCAGCTCTCTTACATACAGACTCCCCACCCCCTTTCTCTGATTTACTTTTCTCTTTAGTATTTATTACCATTATCACTATGTAGTCAATTTGTTTATTGTCTGCGGATTTCTAGTTTGCTGTGCATTGCTGTAACCCCAGCCCATACAAGAGTGCCCCAGGACACAGTAGGCTTTCAGCAAGTACTAGCTAAACAGATAAACAAATGCATAGCATACTGGCTAAGCGATCCAAATCTAACAGTCAAACCTGGGTCTGCTACCTCCTAGCTCTATGAACTTACTTACTAAATTTCCCTAAATCCTAGATTCTTCTTGTATATAAAATGGGGTTAGATCTCCACAATAAGACTCAAACTCAGCACCTTGCCTTGCAATCAACTGGTTCTCAGTAAATCTTACTGATGCTTTATTAACAATTCCCATTATTACAAATAAGACACATATGTGAAGGTGTATAATAAATGCAAAGTGCTACAGAAACCAGAGGATGCTTTGCCTTTCATAAACCAACTCTATGTGTCCATCTAAAGCAGTTTCTAGAAACTCTGAGGGAAGCTTCCTAACGATTGGGACGCTGTCCCCGCTGCCCTCGCGCCCCCGGGACCCCCAGCCTCATCGACCGCCCCGCCCCCTACCTTTCTCAGTCACCACGAAGCACTGCTTCACCGGCCCCACCTGACTGAACAGCTCCTCCAGCTGCTCGCTGCGGGCCGAAGGCGGGAGGTGGCGCACAAACAGGGTCAGGCCCGCCATGAGACCGGGAAACCGAGGCGCGTGACGCTACAGGCGCCCAGGCCGGGGCAAGCGACTCGAGAAGCTGGTTTTAACAGGACGACCGCGCCGAGGGAACCACTTAACCCCGGAAGTGCTCGTGGGTCAAAAGACTCCGGAGGCAACCGTGAAAGGAAGAGAATAAAACGTTCCGGACTTTAAAAGATAGTGGCCCGCCCAGAGGCGGGGCCTCTTGGGTGAGGTTCCACCTCCTGTTCCAGCACCGTCCCGGCATCTACAATTTCTTCTGTCTTTTTTTTGCAGAACCGGGGATTGAACTCAGGTCCTTGAGCTTGCCAGGGAAGCGCTTATTCTACTGAGCCATCTCCCCGACCCAATTTATTCTGTCTTGAAATCATATTTCCAGGAGGTCTACTCCGAATTCATCAGACTAAGCAAAAGTCATTTTTGCACCAGGCCTTATCCAAGATCTGACATATAACAGATGCTTAATAAATATTTATTTTATGAGGTTTTTTGTTTGTTTTGTCTTTTTCTGAAGGGTCTCCTTAGATTTCCAGATTTGGGGCAGAAACTGCATCCAGAGTGCGCAAACACAAGTACGTCACATACATTCGCATATTCTCCGAGATAAATGTCACCTCGGTCTCACTGACAAATTGTAACTACTGAAATAGGCATAGACACAGATGATACGCAACTATCATCTCAATAAATATGTACTGAGCCTCTACTATGTGTCAAGCATCAGAGATAAAATCAAATAAATAAATAGTCTCTGCCCTCCTGTAGAATATCAGCTAATGAGCGAGATAGACATTTCTTTAAATTTTACAAATATATTGCTGGGCATGGTGTCCAACTCCTGTAGTACTAGCACTTGGGCAGCTGAGGTAGAAGAACTGCCAGAAGTTGGGAGGTCTGGGCTACATAGTGAGTTCGAGGCCAGCCTGAATTACAGTAAAGCCCTATCTCAAAAAAATAATAATGCGGGGCTGAGGAGATGGCTCAGTTGAATAAGCACTTGCCTGGCAAGCCCAAGGACCTGAGTTCAATCCCCGATTCTGCAAAAATAAAATAAAATAATAATAATAATAATAATAATGCATATGTATAGATAGATATAGATAATGTGGATTGACAACTGGTGGTCAATTTGTAACACCTGGCTAAAGTGAACAAGCCTGTTGCTGGGTGTGGGAGGATTGTTGCCAGCATTATAAGAAGTGGAACTACAGAAGAAAAGCTGTAGGGGGCTGTTGGTTTTCCTGGAGGACTTTGTCACGCTGGCTTTTCTGGTGAACTCAGCTGTTCTCATTGTTGAAAGAGCTTAGGACCTTGTCACTGCAAATGGCTGCAGTTCACTTTGGAAGATCTCTAATCTTCTTCTTTTTTTTTTTTTTCTTTTTTTTTTTTTTTTTGCGGAACCAAGGATTGAACTCAGACCCTTGCACTTGCCAGGCAAGTGCTTACTCTATTGAGCCATCTCCCAGGCCCCTCTAGTCCTCACTTTGAGCGTCACTTCCTGGCTCTGGAACAAGACTGGTGCACTGTTCAGTCTCCATGAGAAGCTTGTCGTGTTGGCATTCCTAAGGAGAACTCAGCTTTCCTCATCCTCAGAGAAGCTCAAGCCCTCGATGTTGCTGAGGATGGCTATGGTTCCTTTAGGGGGGCTCTGGTTCCTACTCCAAGCATCACTTCCTGGCTCCAGTGCAGGAGCCTACTAGCACAGATCCTTCATCATGCTGGTACAGACTTTCTAGCTTCCACCACTGACCTTTGGGCCTTTCTAGCACAGATCCATGATATAGGCCTGCATGAGACATTTTCATGGGTTCTAGGCTTCCAGCTGGACTCATGGGATGCGTTGTTATGGGTTCTAGGTCCTTAGCTGGACTTGTGCAGGACTTTACTGTGGGATCCAGGCCCTTAGCTGGAGTCTTTGGTCATTAGTGTGTGGACAGATTTCCTGCACTCTCTTTGTATATGATTCTTTGAGTAACTATTATAAAATAATCTTGTAAATTATGTGTCCTGGATTGCTTCCCCTTATCAGCCCTGACTACAACAGATAGTTAGAAGGATAGATTTCTGGTAGCTCCTACACTGCAAGATCTCATCAGAACACACCCAAAGCAAATCTCATACCCAGAACAGCCCCACCCAGAGATTAAAGATCTTTGCTAGATAAGCTTATCAGACAGATCCAAGAATGAGAGGTCGCACTAGCAAAAAGGACGACTAAGTGTCTAGGTGCTTCTGTGCTCTGGCACATACAGAGTATTTGCCATCCTTAGGGCTAGGAAATAAACCTGTGTGCAAGATTGCCTAGCTGAATGAAGTAGTCAAGGGGTTTTTTAAGTCATTGTTTTTAAATATCCTGTGTGTGTTTGCTTTTGCTTTGTGTGTGTGTGTGTGTGTGTGTGTGTGTGTGTGTGTGTGTGTTGGGGATTGATTGATCCTAGGGTCTTATGCAATGGTAAGCAAGTATTCTACCTCTGAGTTACATCTGTTGCCTGAAATCATTATACTTGGGATTGAATCCAGGCCCTGCTCATTGAACTATATCCCCAGCCTGTTTTTTTTATTTTATTATTTTAAGACAGGGTTTTTGCTTACTTGTCCAGGTTGGGCTTGAACTTGCAGTCCTCCTAAGTCTCCCAGAGCCCACTCAGCCAAAATCATTGCTTTAAGTACAGTAAATAGGGAAAAAAAGCATTTAAAAAAGCATCAAGGGCCAGGGAGATGGCTCAGTAAAATAAGCACTTCCCTGGCAAGTGGAAGGGCCTGAATTCAAACCCCAGTTCCACAAAAAAAGCATAAAACACATAGTGAGAAAAATAAGTTTCACTTTCTCCTCAAGCCCCATTTACTTTCACCTTCAGGAAGGATGGATGCCCAATTGTAGTGATATAAGAGAAAAAAAAACACTAAGCATCAGATTTATAAGCCCTGCCTCCATGTATATAATATGTGCTTCAAACAACACACCACACCTTTTCTCCAATAAATTTTTCTACTCTTACAACACCTTCCACTGTTGTGTTTGTTTGTTGATACAGGGTTTCATTGTATAGTTCAGGATGGGGATCCTTCTGCCTCAGGCTCCTGATTACAGTTATACACCACTACAACCAGCATTGCAGTTCTCTCTCTCTCTCTCTCTCTCTCTCTCTCTCTCTCTCTCTCTCTCTCTCTCCCTGCAGTGCCAGAGACTGCACTCAGGACCTTGTACTTGCCAGCAGGCGCTTATGCTGCTGCACTATATCCCCAGCCCTGACCACAGTTATTTTTAAACACAAAATTCAAGACAAGAAGTCATCCCTGGTACTGGAAAAAAAAAAAAAAAGAAGAAGAAGAAGAAGCACTGAAATACAAAATAGATTGTTAGGGTTACAAGGTAAATCTCATGTGGTATGGAGTCATACAGACAAAAGAAATGAGTTAGGTCATTTGAACAAAGTTGATTTGGGATTCAACATCCCTTCCTCTTCTTTCTCTTTCCTTCCTGTCCCATTCTTCACATTAGGAATCAACACTTCAGTCACAAAGACCAAACTACAAGGTTCTAAGGCTCCACCTAGGAGGAGGCCTTCCCAGTCCTGGATGTAATATGTGCAGGGAAAAGAACCCTGAGATGATCGTTCCAATATCCTGTACTCCCTATAAATGCTGTACATGTAGACCTAAATTTTCAGTAAAGGACAAAACCATCAGGGGGCAGCAGCTACCCACAGTGCAGGGCTTTGTACCCCCCAGGAAGGACAACAGTACAACTGTTCCTTCTCTACTCTCCCAGCAGCTCACATGTGGGTTCTGTCTCTTTCCTACCCCACCCTCTCCTGTCTGTTCACATCAGGAAGGGAGCACGGTTCGATCAGGAATATTTGTTCATCCATCTACTCAGGACACATGCAGTGTTCTTTATTAAATAGCAGGAGCTGTGGAACCCTGCAATGTGGCTTCCAGGGGAAATAAACCATCAGCCAGCCCCTCATCCATCACCATACAGGAGCCTGGCAAGGCAGTAAGCGAGGTCTGGCCTGTTCTCAGTCAGCCTCTGCCAGGCCTCATCTCTGACTTCAATTCCCCTTGCAAGCTAAATCTTCTATATATCAAACAGTTCTTGTTCTTCACACTTCTCACAACTGTAGTTAATTACTTGTGTTATTGTGATTATTTATGCCATTAGTTGTTTAATGTTTAATGTTATCCCCCAAAAGACCTGCAACTTCATACATCCAGGACTGGTTATCTTTCTCCATGACCTCTCTGTCCCCAGCACCTAGCACATTGTAAGCCTTTGTGAATATTTTTAAGAGAATGAATGATATAAGGGAGCTTGTCCCTAAGTCCCCTGAAGTATCAGGGTTTGGAATTGCAGGGCATCTGGATTAGGATCTACCTGGATTCCTTCTGGGGACCATGCAGGATAAGGCATGGAACTAAAGGGAAAAAAAGACTGTCTAATCCAAGTCCTGGCCTCTTTAGGGAGTCATAGAGCTGTAGTAATTCTTAGTAAGGAAAATCAATGAAATGTTAGACCTGTATTCCCATATTTTTTTTCTTTCCTCTCAAACCTCATTTAGAAACAAAGTGTGCATGTACATGAGAGAGACAGACAGAGAGGAGACAGACTAGGGGCTTGGGGTGCTTGGACTGCTCTTTTGGAAAGTATCTGTGGGGCCCAGAGGCCTGTGATGTGGAGAATGAGAGAGAGCAGTGGGTCAGGATTAGAGCGAAAAAGATGGCAGAAGGAGCCGGTGTGAGCACAAGCAGATGAGCGCAGATGGAAGGGAACCTGCGGAAGCAAGCAAGCCCCTTCTCCGAGCAGCCACAGGCAACCCTTTCCTGACACAATGCTTCAGGGATGCTGGGCTGCTACAGGCCCTATGACACCAGTGAGAAATGCCTGCAATTAGGAGGCTGGCAGTTCTCCAGGCCTCAGCCCAGAGGACAATGCAGCAGGAATTTCCAAGCCAAGCTGAGCCAGGTGATTGAGGAGACTCAGTCAAAAGGACTCCCTCAGCCTTGCCCACACTGCTGCCTCCCTCTCCCCACTTTGACTCTCACTCTCCCCAAACACTGCTGGTTCCCCTCCTTCTTCTGAGGCCAGAAGCCCTAGTGCTCCTCTCAGCCAAGCCAAACCTTCCTTTGTAAGGAGAGCAGCACTGTGATGTGCGGGGTATCTGCCAAAACACTGCCAGATTTTTATTTTCAAATTTAATCCAAGCCTTTACTTTTGTGCCACTCTGAACTACTGCATTTTAGCCAAGTGACAAATGTAGAGAGCTCCAAGCCAAATGCTCCAGGCAAGGAATTATAGAGTGGTGGCCGGATGCGTTTATGGATGTGTTAGGCTTCTGCAGGGGAACCACCATGTAGGCAGGCTTACTCCAGGAAGGGTCTGTGCATACAGGAGAGAGTTCTACAGAGAAAGAAGACAGGGTGGCTGTGAGCCCCAGCCCCAAAGAGGACCTGTTGGTGCATAATGAAGGTAATCTTTTTCCTGCGAATCCCATACTGCAGGAATGTGGCAGGGGGACTGGTGGGGATTCCAGTCTCAGGCGACCAAGTGCTTTTATATGCATATCAATATTTCATGGAGGACTGTAGCCCTAACTAGCCAGCTATCTGCCAGGACCTGAGGCCAGGTGCCTGAGAGCACAGAGCCAGGCTCCTAAGAGCACTGAGGACCAAAGAGTTTCTGTCCCACCTCTCAGGACCTATGCCACCCCTATGAAAAGCCATGTCCCAGGGAGACAAAAGGATCTCCATGGGACCACTCCCAGGATGCTTACTCAACCCAGCCACAGGATAAGAACCTTAGTCTTGCGTGAGGAAGTCTGGAGTCAGAGGCAGATTCACCCACTTCCACTTCTGTTAGAACCACTGCTGCTGTCACCACATTTAAGCTTTTCCAAGAAAGCCAAAACCTCCTTCTCTGAAAATATTTTATTGATAAATTAACTCTGAAAGCATTCACCTCCCACCCACCTCCTGTAAGGTCTCCTGAATGGGCTGTGAAGCCTTCTGTGGGGAAGGGTCCCGTAGAGGACAGGGAGTTTCACACACCACAGGGGTGGGCATGGCCGAGATGAGTATGGGGCCAAGGCAGGGCCCCAGGTCTTGAGGACAGCCCCTCTCACTCATCAGAGTGGAGCACCTTGGAGCTTTATTGCTGGTGAAGGCCAAGGAAAGTGGGACCTCTGCCAGCCTAAAATTGCAGCTGAGGGCATCAGGGCCCAAGGCTCCAGAGAAGGTGGCACTAACTCCCAATCAACAGAGCCTGGCTGTTGACCCACCCACCCAGGGGCCCCTGGATGGGGACAAAGTGGGGAGAGAGGTATCTGAGCCAGGAAGGATTGGGGGAGGGTTACAGTGTGCAGGTCTCAGACAGAGCAGGTGCCAGAAAGGAGTGTATGATGGCAAGGCGGTGAGGTGCCCGCCTTATCAGAGGTCTATGGTGTCGCTACCCACACTCAGCTCGTCAATTTGTCGACAAGCATCTAGGAATTGCTCCTGCAGCAAGGCCTCCTCTACCTGCAGCTCAGAAGCAGGCTCCGGGGAGTCGTGGGAGGGTGGGGACAGGGCCTGATATGATCCTGAGGCCTGGAGGCTAAGACTGCTTCCAGAGGGTCGTGGAGGACTGAGGACACAAACGAGTGGACAACGCAGAGGCCTGTCTGGGCTGGAACATAAGAGCATGGAGGAGCTGTCCCGAGATAGTCCACACAGGGAGCCAGAGGAGGCGCTACTGCCCACGGGCCAAGCCCCAGGAGAGGGGAGCTCCGGAGGTGCCTGGGAGCTGGGGCCTTCCTCCGACCTTCCACTGAGCCCAGCCCTGGTCTTGGTCCCCAGCGAGGAGGTGCGGTAGAGGCCGATCCCCGGCAGGGCTTCCCCAAAAGCCGGGCCCTGGAAGAGGCCTGGAGCCAGCAACGCCTCGCTGCAGAGTGCCTCCTCGATGCTGCGCCGAAGGTTGATCGGAGAGGGAGGGCGGAAGTCCACAGTGCAGTCGCTGCCGGGGGAGGAGGCCGGGGACTGAACCGGGTTGTCCACTACGCCTCCGAAGCCCGGGCAGCCACCGCCCTGAAGCAGCAGATCCGGGCCGGGTCCTGCTAGGGCGCACAGCTGCAGCAGCTCCGCGTCACCGCGAGCGATAGCGCTACCGAGGGGCTCCTTGTCCTGGAGCCCGGTGACCCAGCCTCCGGGCAGTAGCGGGGCCGCGTGGCCCGGGGACAAACGGAAGATCTTGGCCCAGCAGCGTGGCGGCACGCGGGGGCTGCAGAGAGCGGGGTACAGGCCCAGCAGCGCTAAGGGGAGCGCGACACCCACCTCACCCAGGCGCAGGCCCAGCTGGAAAGCCCACCAAGACCAGGGCCCCTCCAAGCCATGTTGGCCGCCGTAGCCCAGGGCGTGGAGGACCTCGTAGCCCTGCAGAGCTCCGCTCAGCAGCCCGAAAGTGCCTGCCACCGGGGCTGTGCGCGCCGCGCGCCTCCAGGACTCCCGCGGGGCGAAAGGGCTGCGCCCCTGCGGGACGGGGGTTGACCCCTTGAAGCCAGACCCGCCCAGGGGCGCCCCGGCCCTCCGCCGCCGACCCCTGAAGCACGAGAGCGCCAGCAGGAGCCCCGACAGGAGAGCGGCAAGGAAGGCGTGCAGCCCGCGCGAAGCGAGCCGCAGGGGCCGCAGCGGATGGTGCGCCGCGCTCCCCAGGGCAGCGGCGGCAGCCAGCCCCAGCCCCAGGAGCAGCAGTGCTGCCAGGCCGGCAGGGCAGCGCGGTGGGCGCGGCCGGGCCAGCAGCAGGCAGGCTAGCCCCAGGCCAGCGGCCAGGCAGGGCAGTGGAAGGTCCTGCAGCAGTAGCCAAGCCAGCGCCGGCAGCCGGTCTCGGTGCCCGTAGGCATCGTAGAAGAGCGGGAAGGCACGCGTGGTTCCGGCCGAGAGCAGCAGCAGATCCAGAAGCGCCAGGCAGGGGGCGCCGGGCGGGCACCTCCAGGGCAAAAGGGCCAGAGCCAGCAGGGCCAGCAAGGCCACCAGGCCGAATAGTGCACCTGCCCCATACACATGGGCCTCCCAGGCTAGCCCCCAGCGAGCCCGGGCTTCTGCCCAGTCGGCTTCCAGGGTCAGGAAAAAGAGGGGCCGCGGGGAAGCAGGAGGCTGCACCTCCGGGTCTGGCAGCCCACCCAGGTCCGTGCTGCAAGTCTCTGGCCCACACTCCGGATGCACTGAAGGGCTCCCAAGGCTGGCAGGAGATGGGTCATCTGGGCCTGAGGTGGGAATGGTTGGGTCTATGGGCAAAGAACATTTGGCTGAGATAATGGTGTGGTCTTGACCCCACTCCCTAGCCAGTAGCCAGTGGACTCCATCAGTTCACCAAGGACATACTATCCTACTCCCCACCTCCTGGTCTTCCACCTCCTCCTCCTCTCATACCCAAGTCCTTCAGACCAAAGCTTCAGTTCACACCCTCCCCTCTCTTTCCTTTGTTTATTTCCCTCCATTATTGTGATTCTACTGGGGAAGGTTTTTCTTCAGAATCCGCAGAACTAGAAGGAATTGTGGACCCCTCCTTATCCAGCACTCCCATCAGAAAGGAAGTTTTTCAAGAACAAGGATTGTTATTCCCTTCCTTCATATTTGAATCTCCATACTTAAAAGTTTTGTGGCACACAGCTGACACTGAGCAGATCCTCACTGAATAAATGAAACTTATGTGCCAAACTAAGAAACTAATGCTCTGCAGAGAGCAAAAGTGACTTGTGTGACAAGGTCCTGAATCTGCAACTACAATCCAGATCCAAGCACCAATCACAGCCCCCTTTCCACTCCAAAATGTCTTTATAGTAGCATCTCCTGCTTATCTCTTGTCCTGCACCCTTGACTCCCAGCTGCCACTTTGCTTCTCTTGGCCTTTTAAACTTCTCCCCCTTTGTCCTGTTTTAAGGAACGTGCTTGCCTTGCATATATGCACAAACACACACAAGACACTATTTCCTCTTATTCACTACCCTTCCGACAGCTACACACCAATCCTCAGCTTACCTCTGGCTATAGCCACCATACTGACTCACCCATAATCCAACTCTAAAACTCTCAATACAAATACCCCTTTGATCTTCCATGTACACATTCTGCAGAAGGTGACATTGAGATGGATTTTCCTGAGTCTCAGAGGCTCCCCATTGAACTCCCAGAAAAGAATAAATGAGGACATCATAGGATGATAAATGCCAATAAGTGTGTGGGGCCCTCTAGTCAGGCCTCCAGCCTCCTCCTGTATGCCAACATCTTTCCACACACCTTGGAGAAAAGGAAAGTTTATAAAGTGGGCAGGGATAGAGTAAGACCCTGGTTCTACTCTTTGGGAGCTAGAGAAAAGTTCAAAAGAGACTCAGGAACACTGTTTCCCCCCTGGCTAGGCAAGGGGGAACGGTTGGGAACTTACCTTCCCCTCCCCTCCCCTCACAGGCTCAACAAGATTGCAGAGATTGAGGAAGAAAGGGTGGCAGTGAAAGATGGGCACAGCCCTGTAAGCAAGGGGAGGAGGACAGAGACAGATGTAGAAAGGAGAGGGAGAGCTCCTGATGATCACATGCCTGCCTCAACAGCTGGTCATGTACCAGCCATATTCAGGTGGGCAACACAGGAAGACCCCAGAAGCATCCCTATCCTAGGCAGTGCCAGTTCATGGTAGGACAGGCAAAACACAGCAGTTCTGAGAACAAGAAAAAAGAATGAGGGAGCAGAAAATTCTGGGGGTGGGAAGGGAACTTAGGAGCCAGGGAGGGTTAAGAAGAAACAGCCAAAAAATTAAATGTGCACAGCCTCCTGCCAACTGCAAACAGCAGCATGCACCCTGGTTTCCATTCCATTTTCTCAAATCTGAACTGGGTGAGAGTGCCTACTGCAGAGGGCAGCTGTGAGGATAAATGAGAAGATGTGTGTTAAGTCTTTGGAGTGCCTGGTATGCAACTGAGACTGGGCGTGATGGCGTGCGCCTATAATCCCAGCTCTTGGGAGGCTGTAAACAGGTGGATCACTACAAGTCTGATCTAGTAGTGAGACCCTGAACACCCTGTAGACTCTTCCCTAAAATAAAATTTAAAAAAGACTGTGGTCAGTATCCTCATTGGCTGATGAGTATCACTGATCATCAGTTTGTGTTTGTGTGTGTGAGCAATTCTGTCCTTACATTAGTTCTTGATTTAACTACCAAAGGCTGCCATCTGGGTGAAAACCCTTAGCACCTTTCAGGTTTGTTTAGATACTCCTGTGACTGACCATAGTCAAATGAGTAAAATCAACGTATTGTTTCACTTTATGAATTCTGTTTAAAGAGCACCATGACAGGGGCCAGGGAGATGGCTCGGTGGAATAAGCACTTCCCTGGCAAGCGCAAGGGCCTGAGTTCAAGCCCCAGTTCCGCAAACAAAAAGAAAAACTAAAGAGCACCATGTTGATGACACAAAAACCCCTGAACAGTCGTAAAGAGGGTGGCCATCAGTTAAATGAGAAGCCATTCATCAACAAACAAATAGTTTGCTGCTCAGAGAAGGGCATCACTAGCATTAGCAGGATCAAATAAACACACCCCCTGACTCCTTATCCTCTAGTCCTCTGTGGTCCTTGTTGAAATCATTGCTTCTGAAGAGTGACTGAATTAGCTGACTAAATTAGCTTGGCTAAAGCCTTTGGGCTCTGCGGAGAGGCAGAGAGGCCCTGCCTAGATGCCCACTGTATCAGCCTGTCACCTGTCCTCTTCACTCCCTATACAGACAAGTATGACTCTCCAAGGCCAGATCCACTTCACTTTCCTCCATCTTCACCTCTCACGCATGGGCCATAGAAAACCTCCTCTCCTATCACTGTCCCCAAGCCCTAGGGTAACCAGGGCAGATTTCAACATTCCTAAGAATTCAGAAAATTGGGGGCCCAGCCCTAGCTCAGTTCTTTAAGTGGCTGCTTCCACAATGCTGGCAGCCTCAGTTTGCTGTAGTTCGATCCCCACAACACTCCAGCCATGCAAAAGTGCCCTGAAGGCATTCAAGGAGCAAAACACACACACACAAAAAAAAGAATTCAGAAAATCAATAAAAGCCAGAAAACAGACAGCTCAAGTATCAGAGAGGGAGCTCTGAATTAGGTGCTTTGTTTCTAGGGGTCAGTGTACCTAGTGTGCCTGCAGTCCAGGTGTGGGTGGGGACAGGCAGAAGGAAGCCTGGTTTCTACCTTCAAAGGGTCCACATGACTTCATCTCCATCTCTACATTTGTGATTTCCCCAGAAGGACTTCTCAGTTCCCCCCAGAAGGTAGTGACTTTCAATCTGCCCCTCCATGGATCCCTCTCCTGAGCAGGTCACCTCTTCAGGGAGGTCCTATTCTGGCCCTATGGCCTCTCTTGACCTCAGGGCTAAAGGAGGAGATGGGATGTCAGTGTGAGTAATTGGTAAGCAAAGCTATCTGGGAAGGCACAAGGGGAAGGGCTGTCTCATTCATGGAAAGCCAGGCCTGATTATCCCTCAGCTGCCCACATCAAAGGCCTGGGAATGACATCCCTACTCTGGATTCTGGAAGCTGCAGCCCTTTGGTGGCCTGGCTCCATCCCTCCCCCACTCCCACTTCCAGGATCCCAGAGCACTGATACTCTTCATGAAAGTGACACTCAAAATATTTAACAACAGGATAGTACAAGTGCCAGTTCGTCAGAACAGAGCCCTGCCAGGGTGGTTAGGGAGTGGATGAGAGTACTCACAGGGACTCAGAACAGAGCGGCCTAAGAGTCTTTCAGTGTGTTATGACTTGTACATCTGTTGGAATATTTAGGGTCCCAATACAACAAGTTCTATTCAAGGTGAAAGAGACCTATGATCAGGAAGACCTAGGAATCCAAAGTTAATGGCAACTAGATGGGAAAGATCCTAGAAGAGAAATAGAGACTGTCTCCTCTCCTATATTACACACACACACACACACACACACACACACACACACACAGGCACTCCAGTGTGAGCATAGCCTATGGGCCTTATCTCCAGGAGGCCTGTGGCCATTCTGGGTTTATCCAGAGGAGCAACTAGGAAGAGGCTGGTGTCCTGCAGCCACCAGTGAGGAGGGGGAAGAAGGCAGGGCTGACAGCCTCCCAGGCTCTGCTGCCTCTGACACTGTCCAGACTCATTAAACCTGCCTGGGCAGCACTGTCATCCAGGCCGACAGACTGCCAGCCAGCATCCTGCCCCTGAGGCACAGAGCTACCCTCCCACCCCACCCCCCGTGGCTCTTTCCACTGTCACACACTGGATGCACAGGGGAGTGGCTGGCACCTTACTCACTGCTGAGGGAGCATAGTGACAAAGGCTGGAGCAAGAAAGTGGGATGTGGTATCAGGCTTGGGACTGGAAGAAGGTAGAAAACCAGGGGTCTCCATGGCTGAGTCTAGTACAAGGGGACTAAGGGGCTTCACAGCCACAGAAAATGCTTTGAAGAGCAAAATTTAGCTTGGAAGTCACTCTCCATACCTCTGGTGGCCTCATCTGCCAGACCCTCTTCCCAAGCACCTGTACCCTCTGTCAGGTGTTATATGTTTGTCATGTGTCATCCTATTGTCACCTGTGGCCAAAACTGGGGTGGCTATGAGGTAGGGTCTGGAAGTATATTTAAGATGCAGCCAGAGAGAAAAACAAGGTTAATAGCTACTATTTTAAATGAACTTTAGGGCTGAAGAGCTAGCTCAGCAGCACAGTGCCTGCATGGCAAGCACAAGGTCTTGAGTTTGATTCCCTGCACCAAAAAATAAATAAATGAACTTCTACTTTGCGATCAGCATCATTGGGCCAAGAGTTTTTGTAATCTAGAAGCATTACAGTATCTCTGCAAAATGAGTACTATCATTAAACCCTAGATGCATGAGAGAATTTAGACTCAGAGACACTAAGTAATCTACCCAAGGTCATCCAGGTAGCAAGGAGGCAAAGGGATTCAAAGCCAGTCTCAACATGCCAGCCCACTTGTCCAGAATTGTGTTGTGAAAGATGCCCTTGAATGAAGTTAGCATCTCTCTGCCTGTGGTCTCCTCGTCAATGTCTTCCCAGAGAGAGCCCAACTCTGTCCATATCTGACAGTGTGTCATGTCAGATCAGAAGGCAGAGAAGAGTCTCAAGACTGAGCTGAGATGGGGTGGGTGGAGAGTAGGCTGAGCCCCCCACACTGGAGGGAGGGGTGAGCCCCACTCCACCTCTCTCCAAGCTACTCTGCCTGCAACTGCAAACCTCTCAGAGGACCATTCCTTAGTTCCAAGGACCACTGATATATATTTCTCCATCATGATGATGATGAATAGAATGGTGATTATGGTTATAAGGACAATGAAATAAGAGGATCTTAGGGCACTGATAAGTGACTGGCATGGAGCAAATGCTCAAGAAATAGTGGTCAGGTCCAACTGAGTTGACACTTACCGTGTTGCATTGGTGTTGTCCTAATTGAGGCAGCACTGAGCAAAGCAGCCTGGTCCAGCAGGCTTGAGCTTGAGAGCTCCCTCTCCAGAGAGGGTAGGGACTGGAACAGAGTGGTGCCAAAGAACCCTGCAATAGGAGTAGACAGGGCTCGAATGCCACCCTACCAGCCAGCTGTGGCTTCTAGGACTGAAGAAAATCCTGTACTTCTCAAAGCTTGTACTGAAGAAGAACACCTCACACCCTAAACTTGTAGGCACCTTTTGCTAAGTTAAGCTAGAGAAACCAAATTAGAGTCAATGTTGCACAGATAACACTTCCCCTAGGGCCTGGAGAAGAACTACAGGCCTCCCTGGGCTGAGAACAAGTGTTCTGGTCAACTTCCTTGCATAGCACCTGGCATGCAAAGGACCCCACAAACGTTTGCTACAATGAATGAACACTCACCTGGAGAATCTGATGCTCTGGAGGGAGAGTTTGGGGATGCTGTTATGCCTGGGGGGCTCAGGCCTGAGAAGTTCCGGAGTGGGGACACAGTAGTGCCAAAGAACCCTGCAGGAGGAGTCCAGGCTGAAACTGTTGCCTATGGACCAGGGATGCCCAGCGGGGGGTGTCCTCCAATGGGGTTGGTACTCACCAAAGGGTCCTAGGCGCCCTGCAATCTCTGCCAGGCTGGCCCGCAGACTGGGCAGGAGGGGCAGTGTTCGATGCCCCAGGGTCGGGGCTGCACCTGCTCTCAACGCCACATCAAACTTCAGCTCTAGCTCGCTATGGTGGGGCCTAGGAACACTGGATGATGGTGCTGTCGTGGTCAGAGCAGTGGCCCAGGTCACAGTGGCCATCCTGGGCTGATAAGGAGTAGTTGGATGGTGGGTGGGCCCAGAGAAGGGGGATGTGGACTCAGGAGACAGGGAGGAGGCCCAGGGTGTAGAGCTGCCTTCAGCAGAGCCCCACTCTGGGGGAGAGTTCCCAGGGGGACCCACCAGCAGTTCCCAAAGGGGATCAGTCCTCAGCCCACTGGCCACCTCTTCTCCTGGCTCCTGGGCTGGACCAGGAGAAAGAGCCTGGGTCTCTGTGACAGGGTTTCCCCAGACAGCAGCAGGTCCCCGAAGATGGAATTTAAAGTTTAGTCCCAGGTTGAGCGACAGCATAGAGGCTTCACTCTCAGGTGGTGGAGTCAGAGTGGTTAGGGCACCTGGGACAGAGGCAGGCTGGGGACCCACAGGAGCAGCAAGCAGGACCCAGCAGAACAGCTCCAGCCCCAGACAGCAGCGCCCTGCCATGGCTGCACCTGACCTCAGCAGCCAAGTGGGCCCAGGACTCCCTTCGTCAGCACCTTTTGAACTCGGAGGTCCTGGAGGGAGGAGAGGCCCCGTGAGCCCTGCTGCCACCACCCTTGTTCTTTTCTCAGGATCGTATGATCCATGTGGAGGCTTCTGGTCACAGAGAAGCAGGTGGTGGGGGCAGAATGCAAATTCTGCCCAAGGGGACAGGATGGCTCCTCTTGCCAGCTCCTGCCTGTACCTTTAGGTCCAGCGCAAATCTCTCCTCTGCAGTTCCCCCAGTGCCACCCCACCCCTGCACAGGGGGCACTGGAGTTTACTGCAACCACAGTCAGAAAACCGGCATCCTTACCCATAGCGGAGAGGTTGGACTTGGATTTCCAGATGCAGATTCTCTTCTTCCCTCCCACCGCCTGCCCAGATTCCCTTCCTCCTGCAATCACCATGGAGGCCTATGGTGCCAAGCACCCCTCTGGGGATACAGCTGTGACCAAGTAAACCCTCCTGGATGTATCCAGATCCCCCACTTCTGGCTCCATCTGAAATCCCACGCAAGGTCCCCAGAGAGGCAAAGCATAGCCCAAGAGATCTGCAGAGCTGGGGACTGCCGGGCAGCACCCAGATCAGCAGGGTTTCTCTCTGCTCAATCCCTCCCCATTCTTGGGGTTAGGTCTTCTCCCCTCCCAGGGACCCTAAAGTATTTGGAGGAGGGGCCGCTTAACCATTATGTTTTCCAGGGGGAGAAGGCCGAACAGGCAAGCTGGGCCGGGGCAGCTGCAGTGACTCCCACCCTCTCCTCAGAACTCCCCACTCCCTGTGGACACATCTGGAAGGGGGAAGGGAGGGTGAACCAGGGACATATGTGCACCCGGCACCCTTACATCACACACAGGGCCACACCTAGCACCCCGACACACCCACTCATCCTTCACATACCCCTGCGCACAGGCGCACGCACACTTACGCTCCATTCCCCTGAACCCCTCCATTCTACAGAGGTTCAGACCCAAGCTGTGGGAGCTTCCTCTCTCTGTCTCTCTGTCCTTCTGTCTCTGTCTCTCTTTCTCAGCATATACAGTCAAAGATGCACCCCCAACACACACGCACAGTCAGACACACATCACACACCAGCCCCCCACACCCCTACACGCCCACCCCTGGCAGGTACACACACACTCTCCTACACACACACACACACACACACACACACACGTACTCTTTCAGTCTAGACCGGCCGACCTGCTCCTCTCGCGCCCTCCCTCCAGCGAGGTTCCTTGGCCAAGTCCCCGAGAAAGGGCTGTCGCGGTGGCCCCCAGCTGGGCAGCGCTTCGCGGTCTCGCCCGTCCTCTCAGTTGTACTGGTGCCGGGACCGGAGATCGGGACCGCACTCCCCACCGTCCCTCAGCTCGTCCCGGCGGCCGTAGCCTCACCGACCCGCTGTCCCCCCGGCCGCCCCAGCTCGGCCGCGGCCCGCAGCGCTCGCAGGCGGGAGGCCCGCCCGGCTCGGCCCGCTCGTCTCGGCCGCACTCCACGCTCGCTGCCCGCGGCGCCGCCTCCTGGCCCCGCGCCCGCGCCAGGCTCCACGGCAGCAGCTCTCACGCCCTCCTCCCGCTCCTGCCCGCCTCGCTCGCTCTCGCCCTCCCACCCAGCCCACCGCCCGCGATCCGCCCCCACCAGAGGAGGCGCGCACAGCAGCGCCCAGCCGCGGCCCTGCGGTGCCCCGCTCTACGCGCGCTCATTCACCCGGCGCTGCCAACCAGCCGCGGCGAGCTCGGGCGCCTCGTTCTCAGCGCGCCGCGGGCAATCACAGACTCCCGGAGCCGCCCAGCGCGCACGTCCCACAGGCACGCCGGCCCGGGAGAACGCATCCGCGGGCCAGGGCGCCGCGCGTGCACACACACACTCACGTGCGCACACAGCAGCCTGCCTGGATGGTGCTCAGGTCATGAAAGCCGCTGTTAAACTCTTACTGCGAGTGGGATAACTTTAGCTTGTGAGTCCTCACCACAACCCGCGAATGTTTCCATTTTCCAGATAGGTAAATTCAGATCCAGAAACTGGCCCAAGATGACACAGCTTAACAGGGACTTGAACTCAGTCTCCCTGCCTGCCCTCTCCACCACCTGGTGGTTTGCAAACAGTTGTACTGCTACAGAGGAGAGCTTGCAACACTTCACGGTCCAAATGCCAAGTGTCGTCGTCCCTGCTGTAACGTTTCTTTTGCCTAAGACATCTTTGAAAAATACAGAGTTTTACAATGTCTGCTGTAAAGTCGGACTTGGTGGTGCACGCCTGTAATCCCAGCACTCAGGAGGCTGAGGCAGGAGGATCACTATGAATTCAAGGCCAACCTGAACTAAATAGTGAGACCCTGTCTTAAAAAAAAAAAAAAAAAAAAAAAGCATAGGGGAACATAAAATACTTGAGGTTTACTACACCAATCAAATTTTTTCCCTCAAAATCAAGACATCCATCCTATTGTATGCAGAGCACTATGCTAGTGCTGAGTCTCTTATTCTGCATTACAAGCCAGAGAGAGAAAAATTACTGTTCTTGTGTTACATTCCTGCATGGGCCACTAAACCTCCTTCCCACTTACACCTACTTCTGCTCTGTAAGGTGATGCAAGTGGGGAATGGGGGTGTGGAGGTACTTAAAGAGTTACCTAGGCCGTGCTCAGCTACTCGGAATCTGAGGCAGGAGGATGCAAGTTCAAGGCCAGAAAAAAAAAAAAAAAAAAAAGAATTATCTAGGGCAGATTCTGCTCAGAGGTCCGACATCACACTCTGCCCCTGGTAGATGCTCGATAGCTATTTGGTAAGCAAGTAAATGGCCCTAGGGCGCCTGTGGGCAATGAGTTTGCTTTCAGAGAGGCATTTGGGACTGACTTCCTGATTGCAGAACCCCTTCCTACAGCACTGAAATAAGAAGAAATCAGGGTACCAAACAAAACACTGCACAGGATATCCCCTAATTGTACAGTCGAGCATTGCTATCAGGCCCCCCTCACTGCCCACAGTTCATTAGGGGCTGCCTTAAGGCCGCATACGGGGGCTCAGTTTCTGTTGTCTTTTATATACTTAATGAAAGCCATTCCACTGGAGATATTTTCTTCGAGTCCTCCTCACAGAAAGTCTCACTTCCTGATAATCGTGTTCACTTAAAGACTTCTAAATGGGAAAACCTGAAATAAACATCCCACAGTACATTAAAATAGCAGTCCTCCATGACCAAGTAGGGTTTTTCCTAGAAATTTTGTTTTGAAAAAGATATTGAAATGAGAAGTTAGGGTTCTGGGTTAAGATGGTAATTGATTGCATCATCTCATTCTACTCTCTCCCAAAACCCCATTAAAACTTCAGTAGAGAGATTTTTAAATCAAGGGTTAAAACTGTAAAGACACAGAGACTAGGAAAGCAGACAATGGCAGCAGAATGTTTGAGGTGGGATGCTAGGCAGTGATGCAGCGACTGAGTTAGCCCTGAGGAGAAGGACCTCTCCAGCAGGCAGTGTGGAACCTGGAATTGCATGATTCTCAGAAGGCTCGGAACTGGCACTCCAAGGTGCCTCTGTAACTGTGGAAGTGGTGGCTAAAGATTAAGGAGAAATGTGTTGCATTCCTAACATATAGGCCACATAAGGAACAGTCCTTCCCTTATTCCAGTGAGGGTCTGGAATTTTCTTCTGAAGAAGCTAAGACAGAAGGTATTGGGACTTGAGGCCTCTCTTCCATCCAGGCTCCCACAGTGGTGGGAGCGGGAACTTTGTTCTCCAAGCTGGAGACTGGAAGACTTTCCCATGGGATGCTTCATTAGCCCAAGAGGAAAGACCCTTAGAAGTTGACATAGGTAGTGCTGCAAATCCAGTCCCCTACAAAGGCTAAACTCCTTACAAAGCCAAACTCATTCTGTGAGCTTGGAGTCGCATATGCCACCCTCCAAACTTAATCATCACCCAAGATCATCAGATGTCCAGGAAAGTTTCTAACACAGAAGAGAGAGACAAACAAGTAATGTAGAGGAAACAGGTTATATAGAGAAAAAAGAAAGCCATCAAAAAGCTTGTTTAGTATCTCCAGGAAGTGAAATGATGCCACATCTTTTATATCATGATATAAAAGCAAGATGCCAGGTAGGTGCTGTGTCACACGCCTGCAAGCCCAGGTTCTAGGGATGCTAAGGCAGGTAGATCACAAATTCAAGGCCAGCCTGGGCAACGTAGATTATCTCAGAATTAAATAAAAAGAGTTAGTGATGTATCTCACTAACATGCCTATGTGCACAAGCCTAAGTACATAAGGCCCTGGGTTCAATATCCAGTTTTAAAAAAAAAGATTTCATACAAAGGAACATTCAGAGATTCAGAGAACAGCAATAACAATACTAATATTTTAGAAAATAAAATGTCAGGAAGACAGATCTTTTACAGATGGGAAGAGAATCAAAAAGATGGAAGAAAAAGAAGGGAGGAGGCATGTTTTGTTCATGTTCCCTCTCCTCATGATGAATGTAATCATTATGTGCTGAAAATGTGTATTAATAAAAAAGTTTAAATTTATGAAAAGAAAAGGAAATCATGACAGCAGAAACAAAATTTTATGGAAAATTGGAAAAGTAGGTTAAATTTTGCTAGCAAATTACTAAGAAATAGGAAATATAGGATAGAAAAAATAAGCACGTAAGAGGATAATTCCAGGAGACCACTATCAAAATAATACAAGTTCTAAAAGGAAAAACAAAAGATCAGAGGGCATCATCAGTTAACTAATTCAAGTAGTTTCCAGAACAGAAGGACCTGAGTTGCCAGATTGAAAGTCCACCAAGATTGTAGCACTTTGGATAAAAACAAACCTATCCCAAAGCATATTAAACAGAAGAATCTAAAAAATTCTAGAAAGAAAAATATGTACAAAATATCAAATATAAGAAAATCATCACATTTCTCAATTGTATTACTGCAATTTAAAAGCAATACTTTCTAATGTTTGAAGAAGACATCTT